TTTTAATTTACAACAAATAATTGAACAAAAGGAAACAAGCAGCAGACTCATTTTAGTAATCTAAATTTTCACTTATTTACTTGAAGGTAAAGGGTAAGCTAGTTTCTTTCAAGTTTTTTTCCTGTTTTTGTAACAGCTCATTGGTAAAGAATTCTATACATGAACTACTGGATGTGATAAGCATTAACTATTTTTTTTTTTTCTCCAAAGATATCAATACTAAGAACCAGAACCTGCACTGGGGATGGACAGTACAGTCTTTCAAGACAAAAACCTAACAAGATCAAGCATGTCAGAGTACATGATCCCAAAATGCAATCAGTCTGTTGCCCCAGTTAAAGCGAACTTAGATTTGAAGGCTACTGCTTAAATCAAAGCTATTTTGGAGTTTTCCAACCTCATCTTGAAACAATGTCACATACTTCAACATGACTACTTCATTTTCACTGTAGCCTTCTCCGCTTAAACGACACAGTAGCATTCAAATTGCATTAGTGTCACAGAAAGGCAAATGAATAACGATGATTTGCTCCTCTACACCATTGAGGCTTTCCTTATTCCAAATTTAGAAACTGTAGTGGTACCTTAATCAAGACAGACTGCAACAGTGGTAATCTTCAGGTACTACACCAGGCTAAAAAAAGGAAAAGTTGCAATCAAAAAGAATTCCCTACAGAAGTCCATCAGCCTGCCTTTAAAAATAACCAGCTGTGGTTTAAACCTGTTATGCTGAAAGGGAAATATTTTTCTCAAAGGCAACCTCTTCCAGGAGCTCTATCCAGGCCACCTATCAGGACAGCAGATGACCAGGATAGGTTGATGTCAGGTAGTCTGTTGGCATGACACAATTTTGGAAAAAAAAAAAAAAAATTAAAGCAGCTTTTCCAGAGATAACTTCAGAAACAATAAAGCCTCATAATACAACTTTATCTTCTATTTTAAAGGAAAGCCATAAGACTTTGTATTCATAACTCTTCCCTAATGCCCACATCTCAGTGTTTAAGGTTACCATCAAACAAGTACGCTTACTAATTAGTATCTTTTCTCTCAGTATTACCCTTGAAATATTTTTAAAAACAAAATAATAGTAGTATCATGTGCGTATGTATGTAGGCATAGGATATATATAGTGACAGAGTAGGTACAACATACAGTCAGAAAACAGACTGGATTACGTGTTCTGAACTGGGGAGGCACAGCCATTACAAAGTGTGGTTTAACACAGAAAGCAACCTCTGAGACTTCGTAAGGCTCAGTGTGGGCTCCATGTCTGTGTTAATATTAACTTTTCAGTAGCAGTCAGATGAGATGCACAGCAGCAGGGCAACAAAGAGGAGAACGAAATGACAGGAGAGGCTTTCTTCCCAAAGGCTGGGGAGCCCTGGGCTAAACAAAAGTCCTCTTGAAGCCCTCTTCAGCACTGTCTTTGATAACAGTTTTGTATGCAGCTGTGATTTGAGATAGTTGGCTTAGATAGGCAGATCTATTCATGCCCTGTGAATAAAGTTCTATTCAATATATGTTAATTTGGAATTAGAACAATTTTTTTTGTCTATAATACGTATGCAATAGACAGCTGCAATCTTTTCTGCAGACACTAATCTGAGAGAGAAAAAATGTTTCTTTTCACTGTGTCTGAGTCCCAAATTGTACTTGAATGTGAAACTACCTTAGATAATTTGTGTAGCAGAAGCAGACTAGCTACAGCAACACAAGACTCACAAGTTTGCCCTGGCTTTCTGTAGGTTACCTACGTGCAGAGTTTGCTCTATTTTCTATGGTTTTTTTTCTCCAGTCACAGAGTGTAGGATGTACCTCCTAAATTGCACTCAGAAGGTAGAAGATTCACACAAAGCACATTTTTAAAACAATCACTGTGTTCTTCAGAGAAACAATACAGTAAGTGACAAAATATTATTGGCCTTCATCTCCAACATGCTCAAGTATTTAACAGTAAACATTGTTCTAGGTGTTGACATGTTGATAAAGTACAATATAGTTAAAGAAACAGAAGAAGAAATGTTAACAACTGATATGTTTTATGCTCTCTTCTAAACTAACACGTGTTCCACATAATTCGTTTTCTGAATTGTGTACCGTTTATAGAAAGAAAACAGAATTTGATTGATTCCCTAAAGTGAATAAACACAGCAAGGAAGAAAACTGATTATTACGAAAATAATTATACTTGGTATTGTCAGGAGGTAAAAAAAGGTGTATAGGAAATTAAGTGCAGGTGTATGTAGTCTGCCAGCAATGTTGGCTTCTACAGTTCTGATACCCATCAAGGTTCCAAACGTGCCTTGGTAGGATTAGGTACACAGTAAGTCTTGTTATACAAAATTTACCTATATATTTGTCGCAAAAAGCACTATATCACAATATATCACTTTAAAGGTAGGTTTATCTTGGACCACTATGTTGTTTTGACAAAAAGGACTTAAGATGTTACTCAGGATTTCAAGAGAACAGGTAAAAATTACCCCCCCACCCCTGTAATGCTGACGGCAGCCTGAAAAATAGAGAAGAGCCGCAACACCCATGCTAACTGCAGCTTGCACAGTCTTGAGATTTACTGCGGGCAGTAAAAAAAGAAGTCTCTAAAGACAACAGATGTTAGCAGGACTATGAGAAGCTACTCTTGACTCTCTGCTAAGGAAAAAGAAAACCAGATTTACAATTTCAATATTTTTCCATAACATGTTTCAGTAATGTCAATTCAAATTTACTAAAGACCAGCATGGCAAAAACAAGTAAGGTGGCTTTATCAGTACACTGCAAGGTGATTTATAATTAATATGTAAAATTTCTGAAGTGTGGCAAAAACCTAAGACAAGTGTTTGTCCATATTTAATACTGAAGATAGGCAAGAACTTTTTTCTTATAAGACAGATCTGGTTTATAAGGTAAGATTCCCTCTTTCAATAAAGCATTCAGGGAAAGAATAATTTTACTACACATATATACTTAATTTTACTCTACATCTTCCAACAGGGAGAGTGAAACAAATAATAATTAATATAAGAAGAAAAACTGGAACATAGACTAAGGAACTGTTGAAAACTTCAGTGTAGAAAAGCAACATTTTTTTATTTGTATGGTTACTGTATTTTTTACCTCGATTGTTAAAAGTATTAATGACCATTTACTTCACAGAATTCTAACAGTCAATACAACAAAGGATCATTCGTTCTACGCATTATGTTCTCCTTCCTAAACACACACTTTGAATTTATATTAATCAGATTTACGCAAACATTTTTTCAGTTACCTGCACAGTATCAAATATCATAAACATACCCAAGAAACCAGGAATGCATTGGGGATAAGACGTATAGAAAATCTGGTTTATGTGAGGTAATAACAGTTAATGTTCTCCACAGTGAGTAATATTACTCAGATACAGCATTATTATTTAGTTCTCAGAAAATAAATGAATGTGCTATTTTCAAATTTAGAACATTCTATTGTCACTGTCTGAGAAAGAGCATAAAAGCAGGCTTTCCCACTGTGTTCTCAGTAGGCACAGGAAAGCTGAAACAGGAAGGAAAGAAAAAACTGCAAGGGAGGAAAAGAAAATGAAAATACATGAAAAATCAACAATGTAGTAACTGGTAGGAATGATGAAAGCAGGACAGAGTCCACCACTCGCAATACACAGCATGGCAACCTAATTTGCTGTCTACAGCTTCTGCCCTCATCATCTCCTCATACGGTCTGCCTCTCATTATTTTTACTCAAAAAATTCTTCTGAAAGTGTATGATCTGTAAATGTTAAAACACAGGAAAGACATAGCTTACTATCTATGACTATTCACAACATCTAGAAGCATCACTTTTGTATATTACGGCTATTACTGACGTTGCTAGTACTAAGGTTCATCTGACACCCAGTCAGAGAAACAGGAAAATAATTTAAAATACTGCAGTGACGATCTTCAAATATGCACACAGCATGTTAATTTTTCCTTTTTTTCATAGAAACATCTGTGCTGTAATGTAGTAACAATACTATTGCATTAAAATTTGAAGAAAACTGTTTAAATCCAGGGTTTAAAGCTACAGTTAGTAGCTGCACACTATCACAGTGGTAGGTGAGTCCTATCATTGCTTCTCAAATAATACATCTTGCCTTAGAGTTAGTAGGGATCACTAGAAAGTGTTTTACTTTTGTGATATTATAAAGGATCCTCCACTTTGATACACAGAATTCTCCCCACCTGAAGGTTTTAAAGTAGCTCTGTTTTTGTTTTGAGACTGATCAATTACTTTGTTAAGACAATGACCTGGCACACTATTTCTAATGGTAATATTGCGTTAATCTGAAGTTACTAATTAAGAAATGCCCCTGTAAAATAAGAGTGAAGCCACACATAACGTGTAACAAATGAGCAAGCAAATAACTAGTGCACAAAGATAGGTGCTTCAAGCCCTGGAAGCAAACCTAGGAGTGGTTAGACTGCTGCAGGGAAGAATAAAGTTGATCCTCAAGGAATACAACAAAAATGCCTCAAGGCAGAAAGCAGAGGCTGCCTTCAGAGTGGCAATCTACAATTCTTCTGAGGAAGAAAAAGGTGGATGGCTCCTGGTATTATTATGCTCTTGTTTTCACTCAAATGTAGTAATTCTTTAAAGTGACAATGCTGACCTGATGATGTGGAACACACATGAACTCTTAGAAGAGTTCAGTATGTCTTCCCAAGAAGAAAAGGAAGAGTTTATAATAGGTGGGAAGAGCTCCTCTAATTTTACTGAGAACTCAACTACTAAGAATTGTTTAGGGATGAAGGGTTGGCTTGTTTTTAACTTGCTGTTCTCTATCATGTCATTTGCAGTTTAGCAATTCATCAAAATTAAGTTTATGCAAACATAAAACCGTTTGAACTTATTTTAATATGATAACCCATGATAATTTTTTTTTATACTAAAGTTTTTTTTGGTGGTTTGTTCATTTTTTTTTAAATCAAAATAGGCAATGAATTGTTTGCAGAAGTCCTTACCTCCTCTGGTGACTACAGTTCTGAGAGAACTCCAAATCACTGTCCTTTGATGTTGGAGAGCCCTTATATGTATAAAAAACATCCTCTGTTTCGGTAATATAAGTAATCTCATTTGTAAGGTTATCTACAGACGAGTGTCGTGGTTTACGAATTTCATGACGTAGTCTAGGACTCCGCCTGAAAAAAAGGAAGACAAACACAAGTTGATGAATCAGAATAATTCATAAAACTTTTTCCAAATGGAATTTTTATCTGACTGCAATCTTTGTCCTGAAATCTTCAGGACAGGCCTATTGGACTCACTTTAAATAATAAATTCTTAAACATTTTTTACAGTATACTAGGAAATCATACACTGCCAGGTTCAGTACACTGGACTGATTGGTTTTTCCCTGTCCAAAATGCTAGCTATATATGTTAAAGTTTTAATCATAGGATAATTCAGGTTGGAAAGGACCTATGGAGGTCATCCAGTCCAACCTCCTTCTCAAAGCAGGGTCAGCTGAGGTCAGAGCAGACTGCTTAAGGCTCTATCCAGTCAGATGTTGAAAAACTTGAAGGATGGAGACCACATAGCTCCTCTAGGCAACCACTACTCAACCGTCCTTGCAGTGAAGCATTTTTTCCTTACATCCAGACAGAGCCTCTCTTGGTTCAACACATACCTGTTGCCTCATCCTCTCACCATCCACCAGTGTGAGAAACACTGGCCTCATCCTCTAGCTAACCTTCCTCCGAAGTATTGCCAGGCTGTTGTGAGGCATTTGGAAAACCCTTTCTTCTCCAGGCTGAACAAGTGCAGTTTTCTCAGCCTCTACTCACAGGGTAAGTGCTCCAGCCCTCTGACTGGTTGCAGCATACTAGATAAGGTCTAATGAATGCTGAGCAAAATGGGGATAATCACTTCCCTTGATCTGCCATCTATGCTTCTGTTAATACTGCCAGGGTGCTGTTGGACTTCTTTGCAGCCAGGGCACACAGATGGCTCATATACAACTTGCTCCCTAGGAAAATTTCCAGGTCCTTTCCCAGAGAGTTGCATCACAGTTAATACTGTTGCATTGGGTTCTTCCTTCCCAGGACTTTGCATTTGTCTTCACTGAATTTCACACATTTTCTACTGGCCCATTTCTCCAGATTATCAAGGTCCCTTTGAACAGCAGCCCTGCCCCCAAGCTTATTGACTCATCCCCTCAGTTTGGTGTCATCTGCAAACTTTATGAGCAAGCACTCCATTGCTTCTTCCGGGTCATAAAGATGTTAAGCAGGATAGGTCCCAAGACAGACCCCTGCAGTACTCCACTTGTTATTGGCTTCAAGGTAGAATACAACCCATTAACAACTCCCCTCTGAGTCCAGTCTTTCAAGCGTTTTTTTTTTTTAAACATCTTCTTGTCCACCCTTCCAGAACATAATGTCTTAGCTTGGGTGTAGTATTTTGACAGACAATACCAAAAGCTTTGCTGAAGTTGAGGTGACACCCACTCTTCTCCTGTCATCATATATATTCTCAGAATAATGAAGTTTAACTATATATGTACACACTATGTGATTGTTCTGCTAGAGTACATACAATTAGGAAAGGACAGAGGTTGTAATGTATGAGAAAGGCTGAAACTGGATTTACCAATTAGGGGTAAGAGGAGGTGATCGAGAAGGAAGGCTTTTGGTCTCCAGATGCTCAACAGATAAAGATCGTCTCATAGATGGGTTCCAAACCATCCCACCTATAACTTTTCTGCAGTACTGACTGTTTACAGACCTGAAAAGAAATTAAAAAAACTGTACGTGAATTATTTTTTGCATGGAAAACTTATATGAAATAAAATATGCTTATGAAAGTCAAATTTATAATTCACGTGTTTTTAAAGAGTCACCTGTGCTTACCCCTTCTTAGTTATGCATTTGCATTCTCACAGAGCCATTTGCTGTCCTTCACTTGTGGCAATAAAACTGCTCGTTAATCCCTGCTACAATGCTTATCACAAGTCCAGGTAAAAATAACTTTTTCTGGGAGTTATTTTTAACCCAATTGTGTTTAAGAAGATGGAAGGGAAAACAGGAAATTTGGTATGTCCTACTGGCACTGAACCGAGGGCCTGACAAAACATGGTTCAAATACAGGCAAAAGATTAGAGACATTCTCTGTTAAAACTCAAAGCGGTTAACAATTCACTAATGGCTTCACTGAGCACAGGACCACTTTAACCATCTACCTGCTGCCTCAGCAAACAAGAACTACACAAAACTGTTCACCATTTCAAGAAGGAAGCCACACCTGGGCAACGTGTTCCTTATAGGAATACACCATTAGAGAAAGATCTGACATGCAAAGGTGATCTCCATGTCTGGACTGAATCTTGTGATGATAAACTGACCAGATAAGAGTTGCATCTGAACCAGAACCTCAAGGAAAGCACTAAAAATATCTTACTACTGGGATTATACCAATTTTTAAAGTAGATCAAAATTAAGATAAACTAACTTTTATGCATCTTTTTATATGCCATTCCACAAAAGAAGCAGAGAGATAAAGCAGCTCATCGTCAAGTTTACAGGCCTAGGATTCCTCTTCACGGAAAAGAAGCAATTTATGAGTTACTGAGAAATGACCTTCGGCTCACTAAGTCCTGAGCTGTACATAATGGGTGGCTGGGATAGCAATGGGTGGCTGGGATAGCAGAGTATGTAAGGACTTCACCATAGAGCTGCAATGTCTCAATTATACATAACATAAAAAAAAAGTTGCTTATGCTGTGGATATCACTCATGCTCATATCAAACCTTAAGCATGCTTTGCATTGTACTGCTTTTTGTTTATACAAGTGAAAGAGAAAAAGCAACTCCAAACTTTTTTTTATATTCTGAAGTGTTCCACATATCTTGTTCATGATTTTGAAGCAAATTAATTCCTTCATTTTCTAAATGTGTACTTTTAAAACTTCTTACAGTTTAAAAAAGATGGAAAACTTAATATGAAGTATCTACATGTGAAAATCCGTTTCCCATGTATGTTTTTAAGCTTAGTAAACACAGTCCATGAACTCAGAAGAAGCTTTTGCCTGTATTATCCATTTTATTTTTGTAAGCCTTCTGAATACTAATGACAAGGCACCAGCTACTCTGGTCTTCTACAAACACAGGGTTCTTTCAAAGAAACCTTACATGGGTGGAACAGAGAGTGAGAGTGGAAAAAGAGGATATAACGAACAATGTATCTTGAAGGATTCCATATATTTTGTATTAATCAGCTTTCCTTTTTTACAATTGCCTGTTCATGCATTTTCCAATGCAGATGACTTTTGAGGTGCAACATAACTCCTGTGATGGAAGCCAAAGCCCTAACTCCTAACTCCAAACACCTAACCCTGATCACAGAATCACTTTAACAACAGTTTCTCCAGATATTTCTGTTAAGGTGCATAACAAACAATCTCCTGAACTCCAAGCTGCCGCTCTTCAGATGTCAAATACAAGGCTATTTCTCAGCAACCATACTGAGAGGCTGCCGATGCCTTTTTGGAATGGGCTGTAATATCTTGAGGTGAAAATTCCTTGCTCCCATCTATTATCGAAGTTACCCTTTATGAAAAAAAAAAAAAAAAAAAAGGTACATTTTTAGATTTTCAGCAAGGAATGAGAATGTGCCTAGGAGAGGCTATTCAGCACTCAGTCATGCTGCATGAAA